CAGGCCCCTCGGCCCGGGGCGGGAGCTGGGGGGCCAAGGCCTGCCCGTCCTCTCAGCGCATCACGTCGGTACGTTAGAGTCCCGGGGCTCCTATAGCACAGAGCCTCTTCGGTGCCCCTGTTACCGCAGCTCTGAGCTGGCTTAATGTTTTATTTTTCGTGTCTTCAGAGCCCGATGCACGCCTGCTGCGATGCACAGCACGAGCAAGTGGCGTCTGGCGCGTCCCAGCTGCGGACCTGAAGGCTGATGCGGGCAGAGGGCCGAGGCAGCAGAAGGAAGCCGCGTGTCGACGTTGGTCGGCCTGCTCATCAGCAGTTTTCCATGCTTAGCAGCCTACCGTCTGGCTTTCTTTCAGTGTCACAGCCACAGGGTGTTTTATGCCGAACTTGAGGGAGGATAATGTTGCCAGCTAAAGGGAGCTGTCCCCAAACAGGAGGAAGCCTGGCTGTCTTTGAAAACCAAACAGCTTGGTGATGGAGGCTGTTTTCCTTGGGCCGAGTAGTCGAAGCTGTTGATTGCTTGATAGGAACAAACTGCAACAGGTAAGACAGGAGGAAGTAATACAGGGCTTTGAAACTGCACGAAAGATGCTTATGCTTGATGGGGAACAGCTGTGATGGGAGAGAAACAGAAATTTGTTACATGCTTTTCTAAAAGTTGCCAGTTAGATGCTCTAGCAGTCACGTAATTTACAGCTACTATCAGTAGCTGCGATGCTTGTGGGAACGAGATTGCTCTGTTTTGAAGTGCCTGTGTGACTGCAGTTCCTTTGGGATCAGCTGGTTTTAGAAAAAAACATTTAAGCTCTCCTCATGCCAAACAAATACTTGCTGACTCATGACCAAACGATCTTGCAGACAATATCTGAAATAGCTAGGAACGTTATCTCAGCGTTTGCAGCGTCCCTGACAGAACTAGTTAACAAGCCCGGCAGCTTCTGTCTTTGTCAGATGAGCCGCGTGGAAGCGTCGGTAACGACGTTTTTCTGCAATTCAAGCACCCTGCGGCGAAACACCGCGTTGCGATCGCAGTGACTGCTGAGGCCTGGCCCCCGGGGGGTCGGCGCCCGCACCCCACCCTGCTTTGCTCTGGTGCAGCAGCCGGTCC